ATGTATTGTCGTGTGCCGCGACGCTAGATGGATTAGAATCAAACAGCAATTGTCGGTGAGCTCCAAAACAATACTTGCAGGCCTTTGATAGCCACGCAAGCTCTTCGCCAAAATGCCAAAAAATCGAGTTTTGGAGTACTTTTGTCAAGATCTCCCCCAAACGTCATTATTTTCCAGCTTTTGATAGCATGTCTAGAGTCCCCGTGAAATTTTACCATTTTGGGGCCGTTTTCTCGCGTCTCGAGTCGCCAGCGTCGCGGCACACGACCATTTTACCTCCCAAAACGCATATTTCCGAAAAGTGATTTAATTTGTAAGGCATTCATAACCCCGTCATAATGTCGAAAGACATGGTCGTCCCAGTGTATAATTGCACATTTTAGTAGTGTTTCGCAGCGAAATGGTGCAATAAAATGGATTTGGCTTGAGCTAGAGGCTCGAAGGTCGAGGTAGATCATCGAAAAAGGATCAGTCTGAACATGGAAAGAGCTAGCATATTGACGCATGTGAGAAGTACATGTATGTGCAAGAAATATAAATTAAAACGAATAAAATCGCTAAATGAGAAATCTAAAGCGCGTGAAAAAGGGGTAGTTTGTAAGCTCCTTTGGCTCAGTTGGTAGAGCGTCAGTCTCATAATCTGAAGGCCGCCAGTTCGATCCTGGCAGGGAGCATTTCTTTTGCATTTTTCCGATATGTATTGCCCCATGCAGACAAGCAAAAACACATCAGCACGCGACGAATTTCTATTTCGCGACACCAGAAATTTTTGCGTGATCAATCCATGCGTGTATTCCTCGATATCGTGCTGACATGGCCACCAATATTTATTCCCCATATTAAAAAGAAAAGACGCATGTATTGCTCGCGTTGAATATCTAGATGGATTAGAATGAAACAGCAATTGTCGGCGAGCTCCAAAACAAAAAAATACTTGCAGGCCTTTGATAGCCAGGCAAGCTCTTCGCCAAAATGCCAAAAATCGAGTTTTGGAGTATTTTGTCAAGATCTCCCCCAAACGTCATTATTTTCCAACTTTTGATAGCATGTGTAGAGTCCCCGTAAAATTCTACCATTAGGCCGTTTTCTCGCGTCTCGAGTCGCCAGCGTCGCGGCACACGACCATTTTACCTCCAAAACGCATATTTCCGAAAAGTGATTTAATTCGTAAGACATTCATAACTCCGTCATAACATCGAAAGACATGCTCGTCCCAGTGTATAATTGCACATTTTAGTAGTGTTTCGCAGCGAAATGGTGCGGGGTCAATAAAATTGATTTGGCTTGAGCTTGAGGCTCGAAAGTCGAGGTAGATCATCGAAAAAGGATCAGTCTGAACATGGAAAGAGCTAGCATATTGACGCATGTGAGAAGTACATGTATGTGCAAGAAATATAAATTAAAACGAATAAAATCGCTAAATGAGAAATCTAAAGCGCGTGAAAAAGGGGTAGTTTGTAAGCTCCTTTGGCTCAGTTGGTAGAGCGTCAGTCTCATAATCTGAAGGCCGCCAGTTCGATCCTGGCAGGGAGCATTTCTTTTGCATTTTTCCGATATGTATTGCCCCATGCAGACAAGCAAAAGCACATCAGCACGCGACGAATTTCTATTTCGCGACACCAGAAATTTTTGCGTGATCAATCCATGCGTGTATTCCTCGATATCGTGCTGACATGGCCACCAATATTTATTCCCCATATTAAAAAGAAAAGACGCATGTATTGCTCGCGTTGAATATCTAGATGGATTAGAATGAAACAGCAATTGTCGGTGAGCTCCAAAACAAACTACTTGCAGGCCTTTGATAGCCAGGCAAGCTCTTCGCCAAAATGCCAAAAATCGAGTTTTGGAGTATTTTGTCAAGATCTCCCCCAAACGTCATTATTTTCCAACTTTTGATAGCATGTGTAGAGTCCCCGTAAAATTCTACCATTAGGCCGTTTTCTCGCGTCTCGAGTCGCCAGCGTCGCGGCACACGACCATTTTACCTCCCAAAACGCATCGATGGTCTCATAGACTGTTAATTCGTAATGCATTCATAACCCCGTCATAACGTCGAAAGACATGGTCGTCCCAGTGTATAATTGCACATTTTAGTAGTGTTTCGCAGCGAAATGGTGCAATAAAATGGATTTGGCTTGAGCTAGAGGCTCGAAGGTCGAGGTAGATCATCGAAAAAGGATCAGTCTGAACATGGAAAGAGCTAGCATATTGACGCATGTGAGAAGTACATGTACCGGTATGGCAGCTCTTGCCTTCGGTGAGAGGTTTGTGTCGGGAGCCACTCATTGGCGCTGGTGCACTCGACAGTGGAAGCGCGGACATGGACAGTCGCATGGAAGCCCATGTTTCGTGCGATGCTATCGACCTATGTACTTGAAGGTTTCCAACTTAACAACTTCCAAGAGCCTCCTCGTTGTCTTTACGCATGCCGCGTCTTCGATCGCGCGCGCTTCTCCTCTCTCTGGTCACGCACCTCCAAGCGCAGAGGCCGCTGCGCAGAAACAAGGCGCTGTATTTGTTCATGAGCATACCTCTTCTACGATTCGATGGAGCCGGTGGTGCCAGCAAGCGACTGCTGAGGCGATGGTATGGTCCGCGCTCGGTTGGTCCGTCGCTGTCGGCGCTACGACGCAAATGGGCAAATGAAAGGGAGGGTACAGTGCACCTGGTTGGCTGAAAAGCCCCATATTTCATCTAATCGGCATCACTCGCCTGTTTACTGTCAGAGATTATTTATTGGCCCTATCATCCGATATCAATTCCCACAAATATCATTCTTCGACAGGTTTTTTGGAGCTATTATAGAAGGCCTCCGGAGGCCGTTTATAATATAGAATTCCATTATAGATTATGCTTTTTCACAGTGACCTGTGAGAACCGATCGAGATAGTATAATTTTTAGTATAATTTTGAAAATCGCAAACTCACTAATAGCTAGTCGTACTAATATTGGTTGCGAGCGAAAACTTGCGCGAGCAACTTCACCCGTTCCTTTGCCTGAAGCGTGCGCATGCGGGTTCAGGGGTAACTATTATGTACTAGTACCCCTGTGCGGGTTTCACCCACCACCGCAGGACGTAGCCGGGCGAATGGCCTCGGACTCGTGTCCGAGCGCCTGCGGCCAAGCGAAGGACGTGCAGAGATGCGCCATGGGGCAAAGACAACAGCAAAGCCGAAATGTTCAGCGATGCTTTCTCTACGATGTGTGAAGAGCTTTTACAGGGGAAGAAAACGCACATCCTTTTCCGCTCTAGCCGTAAAAGCAGCCTTGATTCCTGTCGAGGATTTTACGTTTAGACCGGTTGGTGGAGATTGATCAACACTTCACTCGTGATGATGCTTGGACTCCCAGGATAGAGTGCCTTGACCTCTAAAGCCTGTCTAGACACGGGGGGGGCTCACAGGGCTGGACGAACTCGCTAGACTACAGAAGATACAATAGGTACACCTGCGATCCCATCAACATGCACCATTCATCAACATACCAGTCGTCGTACTGGCTTGGCTGTATGCTCAATGCAGGAAAATTATCGCATACCAAGAGCCAATGCGTTGACATGGCTCTTTCCAAGTTGATTCCCAAGTTGATACATTAGTCACAAGTCAACTCGACATATTACAGTAATATCGTTGTCATTTTGCTATCAAGTCGACCATGTTGATCACACTGGCCTTGTCGGGTTGAAATGATGTCCTGTAAACGAAGTGCACTACTCTACTGGGACGCCATGAGGCCCTGAAAAAGCCGCGTCGTGTTGCAGATCGACGTGGTCGCCACCACAAACGCAAACTGGCTCTGCGATCGGTTCAAGAACCGGTACGCTGCGAGCTCTGCATACGCCACACCGCCCAGATAGTAGACAAGCACTCTCTGGGGTGGGCCGGGCTTGGGTGTCAAGGCTGGTAAGGGCAGCGCGCTCACCTGGCGCATCCCGCAGGCCACTTGAACGCGGCGGACGCTCAGAGGTGCGTACCCGATCGTAGGAAACATCCCCCAAATGTCGCGCGGTTGCAAGACATCTTCAATGGCGCTGCCTTTGAGAAGGTCCATGGACTTGCGCAATTTCGACCACTTCCAGTCCGGGTGGCCACCTCTGGGCACTAGCCACTGCAGCGACGCGCTGAGACTCGAAAGCAGCGGCAGAACGCGGTGGCCGTACGTATGGCAGAGCTGCTGCTGGCGCGTGTCAAAGATCTTCCTTTCGGGGCCACCCAGCACGAGGGCATGGAGGCAAAGCAGCTTGAGCATCTTCGAGAGCTCGAGCGGTGGGTCGCGGAGCAAGCCTTCTTCGATCATCGCGTCAATGTCCTTTGGTTTGCCGAGGCCCATGATGCTCTGCTCGATCTCGACGCAACGCTTGAGCGCCTTGTGATCGTCGCTGCTAACCTGCGTCATCGCCGCCACAAGATCCAAGTGCAAACTCACAGCTTGCTTGGTTTGTACGAGGGACCCGAGCTTCTTGGCAAGCTCGGTCGCAGGTGTAAGCTGCTTGCCGTCGCGAAGACTCGCCGCAATTGCCGGCAGCCGCGACGTCACCAGATGATCAAAGTCGAGGTCCCGGATCGACGCGTAGAACTCGTCGTTCGTGGACAGCATGTGCTTGGCGCCATTGACGGTGACGACGCCATGATTCATCCCGAGCACAGCATCCACTAGTCCTACATAGTACGCAGATTGAGTAATACAAGGAATATACCAACAATATATGTACTACCTTCATAATGGAGCGGCGTCACAAGCAGCGTGATTGGGTCCTCGGTGCGATCGACGAGGATGCATTGGTCAAACGGCGCAGCCGACGCTGGCGGCGGCGCCTTGGACTGGACGCTCTCGTAGAGGATCTTGGCGCTCTCGGCGACGGCGCCGAGCGCTTGCATACTCGTCGCGCGCGTGAGGCTTAGCTCAAGGAGGCTCTTCACGACCTCGGTCACAAGGCTTTGGTCTTTCTCCACAAAAAGCGTTTGAAAATCGTTCTCGCGGCAGAGACTCCACACGTGCTCTTCGCACGGCAGCAAGTACAGCGGCAGATCGACCTCGGCCACGAGGTGCTTGAGGCCTTGCCGCTCCATCTCGAGCTCGACGGCTGTCGAGCAGGCAGGGACCCACGCGACGGTCATGGTCAGCGACGGGTGTGCGCTATGCAGCTCACGCAAGAGGGTCACATTGGTCGCTTGGGGCCGCAAGAGAAGAAAGACGCATGCGTCGAGGAGGCTCGCTCGCGGCAGCGGCCGCTCCAGCAGGAGGATGCGGGATACCTGCTGGCGCTCGAAGAAGGCCTTGCCACCGACGCCGCAGGCCATGACATCGAGAAGCGCACGGAACGACGCGTCCGCGATGAGCGTCTTCTTGCCCGGGTACGCCTCCAGCGCGGCGCCGAGCGCGGCCGTTGCCGTCGCCTTGAGCACTTCGTCCGTCATCTGCTCTTGTTCCTCGGATGGCGAGGACTCCAACAACGCATAGATATGTATATTCAATGATAGAGGTTTTATAATTCACCTGCCACACGCAGAGACGTAGAGAGGGTCCGTGCCTGACGAGGCTGTCACGACTGCCGGTCTTGCCAGGTCGAGGGGCTAGAAGGTACACTACGGTATTGCTGCAAGTGTATTCTTCCATCGCTTGAGCTGAGAACAAGATGTAAGTTCAGCGCTAGAAGATCGCAAAACTACTGGCAGTTTCACATGCCGGGATACCTGGATTCGGCCGAGGGTCACAACCGGTCGCATCGGGCGATGACCACGACGACCTGCATCGAAAGCATTCGTGCGCTTCCTAATGCTCATGCGCTACACCCATGCCATGAAGCTGCATCGTAGTAGCAGCACATCCGACGGCCACGAGTAGGTCGATATGAGACTGAACGGATGCAACCGACGAGATATCCCTGTTGGAGCCTATCTGTACTTTGATACTACATGCGTCTCACAGCGTGGGTGCTTGTCGGTGTCGTCGCGGCGACCATGGCGTTGAACGCCACACAGCCGCCGGTAATGGCACACGACCCGAACATCACAGCGGTCGCAACGACGAGACTGCCGTCGACAACACAAACAACAACGACGCCCCACCTACGACGCGCTTCCATTAACGACCAGCGTCCCTCTGACTGCGAGTGGTACGCTCCTTCGACGTCGCATTAGTTTGAGCTCATGCGTCGCGGGACGTAGCCACCTCGAACGACACGCAAGGAACGATGGCGGCGCTCGCACTTGCGATTACATGCCCGGTCGTCGTGGGTATCGTCGTGCTGTACACGATGCTTGTCAAGCGCTGCTGCGGGCCGCTGTACGTCGAGCCGAGCCCGCTCGGCCACTTGGATACCGACATGTCGGACAGTTATGCCCTTACGACGCGGGACACTGTTGTACCGCAGCTGGACGCGCGGCAACTGCGGCTTGTACGCCTGTTGGCGCCACCCAGTGATAGCTTTCAAGTGTACGTTGGCACGTACTATGCAGGGAATGGCACGCTCGACGTGGCGGTCAAGCGACTGACGCCGTTGCGGCAAGCGGACCACGAGTTTGTGCGGCAGTTTACAGACCACATTCACCTGCTGTCTCGGTACATTGCCAATAGATCGCTCTTTCCAGGGGTAGGGTTGATCGTGGTCTTGGATAGATTGCGGCACGCCAACGTCGTCACGGTCGTCGGCGTTGTGTGGCACCACCAGTTTAATGCTGAAGTAGCGTTCGAGTACATGTCGCAAGGGTCGCTGCGGGACCTCCTGGCGGCAACCAATCCGCTCACCGTCGCCTGGCCTGACAAGAAGCACCACCTCGCACTGGATGTGCTCTTGGGGCTCGTACGTCCTTTCCATATCGCATCCGAGTTGTCACTTTTGTCTTGTAGACGTATTTACACAGCCAAGATGTCTTGCACCAGCAGCTGACGATGGACGCCGTGCTTCTCACCATGTCGGCCCACCGCGTCACGGCCAAGATTGCCAGCATTCCGTTTCAACGCGATGATGTTTTGTCTTCGCGCATGTCGGCGTCATCGTCCGTGTCGTCGTCGTCGTCCCGTTGGAGTGACGTCGTGCGTCAAACGACGACCTATGTCAGCAGTCGCTTCTCGCAGACGCTGAAGACAGAGCTCAAGACGTGGGTCGCACCCGAAGTGCTCCGAGGCGAGAAACCGTCGGCGGCCAGCGACATGTACTCGTTCGGTGTCCTCCTCTCGGTCCTCGACTCGCACGAAGACCCGTACAAGCACCACATTACGCAGATGGACAATGATATTCTGCTGCAGCGCATTAGCCACGGCACGCTGCGGCCGACGCTCTCGGTGTTGTGTCCACCGGGAATTACCGAGCTCGCGCTTGCGTGTTTAGAAAGCAACCCGTTGGATCGTCCGACGGGCTCGAGCGCCGTCGCGTACCTTCAAGCTCCGATGACGTCGTTTGCGAGTTCGCACAGTGTGTCGATGCGACAGAGTCCGACCATTGTGTTGTAAATCAATAGTATATGAGACATGATAGGCCTTCTTTGCTAGATGTGACGACAGCGAGGGCAACATGGCACTGTTTACCATCTTGTGAAAAGTCGTAAATCCAACGGCCAAGAAAGACCACTCGAGCACCATGCAATCAACTAAGCTCTTGGTTGATGCATCAAACCACCAACTCGGCTGCAGTGGACAAACGTTGAATGCGCCGCCTCAGCTGGACATGCGTGCTAGGGTAAAAACAGTTTATTGACCCCTGATGCGGGCTTGCGAATTCCGCAGCCAGCGGCTAATCTCTCACTGTATCTCTACTTCAACGTCGGGATTGCAGACCGCACCTGCAATCGCCGCCACCTCGCCCTGGACATGCATCCGGATGTTTGCTACATCATATCCGGATTGCATAGTGAGGCAATGGCAACGTCGCAAGCAAGCTCGACAGTCGAGGTCCGCGGGACGAAGCGTCGACGCCTCGAGACCAATGGCTCGAACGACGCCGCGCCTTCCATCGCGCAGTCAATGGAGGTAACCTCGCTGACCGCGGCAGCTCTCGTCCCGCCTGCCATGGCCAGCGCCAGGCCGGACGCGCCGAGCCGGGTCGCGGCGCCGGCACGCCAAGGAGCTGCGCCAGCAAGAAAGTCGGTGAAGGCCAAGCGAACTAAGGATACAATACTGGTGCGTTTTGACTGTCGCACCAAAGTCAGACGGTGAAACACTTCGATCTCCTGTGCAGGTCGACGCGACGGCGCTCGGTGGACCGTCGACGGCCTCCCTTCTCACGCGGCTCGAGAAGGTCGAATCGACGCTCGATACGGTTCTGACCGACATCTTTCGGAAGCTGCCAACGCTCGTCGCCGACGCGGTGCAGACCAAACTGGCGGCCCACGGATCGGCCCAGCTGGACGGCGTCTTTCACGACTTGCGCAGCACCGTCGAGACGTGCCTGCAAGAGGCGCTGCAGAAACTTCGCCCGGAACTCGGTTCGCCCTCGGCCGCCGCTGCATCTGGGCCATCTTCAGCGTCCTCATCCTTGTCCTTATCGACGCCGACACCACCGCCGACGTCTTCGCGTCGCACGCCGATCCCGCCGCCGCGGTTTGAGTGGGGTGGGCGGATCCACCCGGTGCCGCAAGACTTTACTCTGCCCAAGATGACTGTCTTGCATCTGTGGCGTGCATGGTTTAGCGGCATTCCAGACAGCGGCATGGTGCCGCTGCAGCAGCTCTCAACGCGCAACCTACCAGTCCCCGCCGACGTGGCCCGGTTCTCCAAGGCGCGCCGGGTCGTCGCCTTCATTGCATCGAGCGGCGGTGCTCCGAGCCTTGCCAAGCTGGCGACGTCCGAGGCGTCGGCGCGCGAGAACGTGTTTGAAATCGGCTGTCGACGCGCCGCCGCAAAGTTTCGCGCCTTTTCCGCAAGCCCGGACGCGGCGCTGCGCACGTTCCACGACCTGAGCTACGCGACGTGCTACGACGCAATTCGAAAACTCGAAAAGGCAGATGCGCCGTCGGGACAGGAATAGGAGGGTATGTACGAACTATTGCATGACAGTATTAGTTGAGCGTTGATGCACTGGTGTGATTTTTGCGCGCTCGGCGATGACCAAAACATACATTGGATGACGACAGACCATCGATGGTTTGTACATTTAGATAGATAGGTATGACGTTTATTCGCGTTCACCAACACATCAGTACAATCTGTAAGCTCAATGCAGGATGATTGTCGTACGTTGTGATGGAAAAATGATTGGCCAAATTATGTTCACTGTACCAGTGGTAGCCGAAGATCGGACCCACCAAAATGGACGATTTTGTCTTCATCCTGCGAGATTATCGGGCACCATGACGTTGTTTTTATGTTGTTGCACAACGAGCGGCACGTGTGTGCATGCATCGCTCGAGTCTCCGCCAAGGCTGTTGCAAGGCATTTGAGGAGCAAGCAACTCGTCACCTCGTCAATGCTGCTGTCGGGCATCCACTGTTTGGTTTCAACTCTGCTGGTTCACTGCAGCCTATTCAGAAAGCGTATCCAGAGTATATTGCCTCATCGAAGACCATGCCATCAAGTGTCGAAGCATGTTCCATCGAAGACGACGCGAGTCCAACACCCGCATGCGCTTTGGCGTCATGTTCGATACTTTCCTCGATTTTTCAGCCAATCATATCGCACGATTCCGCGAAAAGATCGTTTTGCGGGCGTTTCATTGGCCCGCGTCGCATTCGCCATGTCGCCCACCGTCCCATTCCTTGATTCATCATCACGTTGGTCCGATGCCTGACGCTCCGATGGCGCGTCCTCGCCTCTCGATGCCGTCGCTTTTGCTTCGCCGACGCCCGTCGCTCAGCACCAAGTACCGTCTCGGCCGCATTCTCGGCACCGGCGGTTGTGCGATCGTCCACGAAGCCGAGCACCGCTGGTCGGGTGCCAAGGTCGCGATCAAAGTGCTCACCAAAGCCAACGCGGCGGCGACCGCCGAGGCCACGCTACTGCAGTCGCTACACCACCCCAACATTGTCCAGTGCACCGAATGCATCGAGTCCACCGATGGCCCTTGCGTCGTGCTCGAGCTCCTCGCGGGTGGGGACCTCTTTAGCCGCTATCAGCACCAGCGGCGCTTTTCAGAAGACGACGTGCGTCATGTGGTCTATGGCGTCTTGAGTGCTCTTGCCTACTGCCACGCGCGCAGCCTCGTGCACCGCGATATCAAGCTCGAAAACATCCTCTTTGACAAGCACGACAACGTCAAGCTCGCGGATTTCGGCCTCGCAACGTACGCAACCAGTGCCTTGTCGCGGGCGTGTGGCACGATCGGGTTCCTTGCGCCCGAAGTCGCCCACGCGCAGCCGTACGGGACACCTATTGACATTTGGGCCACGGGCATCGTCATGTTTACGCTACTGTTTGACCGCCTCCCGTTCGGCACGTCGTTCGAGACGCTGCACAGTCTCACCGATGCGTCGACGGTGCCGTACCCACCGCACAAGACGGAGTGGCTCTCGGCGAATGCACGTCGCGTCCTCGAGGCCATGCTCACCGTGGACCCTACCAAGCGCGCGACGGCAGCCGACCTGCTGCTGGATCCGTGGTTCCAAGCTCCGATGCCGTCATGGCTAGCGGCGCCGACAACAGCGCCAAAGAAGCTTGGTTTTTGGGCCAAGCTGCGCCCTCGTTTTATGGCCAAAGCCGCCTAGACACGATGTACGCCAGCTCTATCCAACTATAGTATTTACTCTACCGTGCGAAACACTCTGTTTTGGTTATGGAGGTCTATCCATGAACGAAATGACGATGTACAATCTTGACATGTCAACTCCACTGCCTGCGCACCGCACCAAGCTCGCATGACTCATCGCCCGCGACCCTCGTCTCGCAAGACCTCCATAAACCAAGAGTTGCAGAAACTGACGCCTAATTGCAACATCTCGACGGACCTCGCAGAGTGCGTCGTCCTAGTCCCCGCCCGGGCTACAGGCGAGTACAAGTGCACTGAGGAGCGCAGCGAGCCCGTGCCACGACGCGGGACACAAAAAGGGCGTGCTCGTTCGTCTGCTTTGTTCCACAGAGAAAACACCACTGAAGACACGGACTTGGTTTGGACATAGGATGCAACGAGTACCACGACGGTCCAGAGCATTTGGTTGCGGAAACAAGATCGACGACGAGGCTCCGTCTACAATCTACTCGGCAGCGGCCAGCGTGGGCGTCGCACTGCAGGCAAAAACGACTCGTAGAAAGCGTCCTTCAGCGCCGCGTCTTCGCCCATGAGCGCCAAAAGGGGCTCCACGTGGCCGCACGGCAGCTCGACAACGTCAACGCTCGTTCCAGCGTCCCGCTACACCCATCGATGAGTCGCCACTCACGTGCTCGACATTCGTACCAAGCACTTGGCGAGCTTGAGCGTTGCGCTCAGCGGCACCACCTACGCTGGTTTGTCAACACTGGTTGCGGCGCGCACGCAGAGCGCACCACATCGTCCATGCCATGGTACAAGAGAATCCGCGGCGGCAACATCAGTCCCGTCTGCACGAGCTGCGGTGTGCTAAACGAGCCAAAGTGTTTTCGGCCGTGCATTGACGGATGCAGTGGCGAGATCGCATGGGCTATTTCAGTGCAGAGAATAAAGCGTGGATCTCCGCTAGCGAAGTGGATGTACCGCGGAATGGCCCGATCGAACGGCCCGCTTCAAAGGCGTAGTGGTCGTCCATGTCGTACGGGCCGCTCAAGCCCACGTACGTCTTGATGTGCTTTGCGGCTTCGAATTCCTACGCATGAAATGCCGTGCAATTGATGCCGTCGAAATCGGAGAAAATGATGAAAATACCTGGGGAATATTGGCCGCGATGCGCCGCGCCGACTGCAGAAGCAACAGCGACGACACGTGTGCCCCTATTGCACACATGCAATCTCTCGTCCGTTTGGCTAAAATCACAGGACGTACCAGACGAGTGACCAGAAAGCGTAATGTTGCCAATGTCGCCGCCGTACGACGCAATATTGTCGACCGTCCATTGCACCTACAACAGCATTGCATGCATGCGTCGTCTCGCTCGCTCGCTACACGATCGCTCGTACGATCGACGAGAGGTCCTCGAGCATGTCTTCGACGTCGCCATGCGGGAAGACGCGGTAGTTGGCGACGACCGTGAGGATGCCATGCTTTGCAAGCTCTTGCCCGACAGCCGCGTAGTGGAACTTGTTGGTCATGGCCCACGCACCGCCGTGGATGAAGACGACGACGGGCCGCGCGATTGCCGATACGTCCTTGGTCGTGCCAAAGAGGTCGAGCGCGTGGCGCTCGTGCGGACCGTACTTGAAGTCGTTGGTGCGCAGCCGCAGCGACGAGACGAGCGTGCGGCGCACAAGCCGCGGCTGGCTCACGCCAAACGCAACGTTGCCCATCTCGCCGAGCTGCACTGTGAGGATGTAGATGCACGACGACCAGAGCGCGCGGAGGTACGAGTGCTGCGGGAAGCGCCGGCGAAGCAGCGTGTACGCGCGGTGGACCAAGACCGCGTGGTTCCAGCCGTGGTAGAGTGCAATCGCGATGGCGAGCCTACGCCAGCGAGCCTAAGAGGGTAGGTCACATGCAGGAGCCGACGTACTTCCATGCGTTGGGTCGCCACGATTGCCTAGCGGACGTCAGCCATGCCCCGACCATGATGCTTCGCGTCGAAAAACCACCAAGGCGGTCAAACCAGCTGGTCGAACCCACGTGCCAGAACAGATTATTTTACAGAATTTACGACACTCAACGACACTCAACCAGCTGTTTCAAACACTGTTTGTCGTCAGTGGCCAACTGGAACACTGCTTTGCCGGCGAGGAAATAATTTTGTGGACTAGGAAAGCTCGAGGCGATAGCCATATCAGCAGCACGCAGCACACATTAGATGCTGGTAGTGAGCAAGGAAAGCAAGCGACATGCTAATCCGATTGTAGGGATACTGTGTGTGCTTTGGGACCATCCACTGGATCGTAGGAACCCAACGCAAACGCTGGATCGGCCATATTTCATCGGACCAATCAGCGACAAGCAACCTGCCTTCCATTATTGCGGTGGCCATGGCTCGAACACGCATCGGCGGGGACCAGGCCGACAAGTTCGCGGACCTCGAAGCGCGCGTCGACGCGCAGGCGCGGGCGACCGCCACAGAGCTCCAAGAGATCCGCGCTGCACTTCGCGTCCTCGGGCGAGCCGACGTCGAGGCCGAGCGCGACGACGCGCTGCGAACCAAGACAGCCCTCGAGCACGAGAACGCCGAGCTCAAGACCAAGCTTGCCGCTCTATCGCGTGACCACGAGGAGCTCCGGGTGAACTTTGACAAGCTCCTTCATGATGTGCAGCACTCGACAGCGAGCATGGTCGCCAAGTACAACCGTGGCGAGGGCGATGCTCTGGCCGTGCCGGGACGGGCCGTTGCTCCTCCTGTCGCCGGTAAGCGAACGAGTGACGGCCCTGCGGCAGCGAGTGCTGTGGCGAAGCGCCCCCGACGACATGGCCATGGCATCGTTGCAGGCCAAGGTGGGGCAGCCTCGGTCGCGCTCACTCCGGTGTCCGCACCTTCTCCAAAGGCCCCTTCACGCAGCGTTGCGTGTCTTGAAGCGGGCATGGACTTGACGACAGACCTTGTGGACCGTTTCCTCGCGTACGGTCGATACGAATGTCTGGTTGAAGGGCTCATGCTGCAGTAGCAAGCTCCAGGACGGTGCCTGTGCAGCGACCAAGCCGTACTGCCGCATCCTTCCGGCATCTGTGTTGTCATCGCTCATGGAATCTGGCGCGCTGGTGCCATCACCAGCAGCGTATCTGGACCTTCTCTCAACTGAGATTGTCGTGCTGCCACTCCTTCTAGGGTACTAGCCTTTCTGCTCGCATGCATATCTCATGACACGTCTTGCGGAATGTAGAGGCCACTGGAGCGTGACCATGGTCTTCCGTCTCGACGCAGCTGCGACCGAGACGGCAAGGATTGCATTTTTCGACACGTTCGACAGTCAGCACCAGGAGCACGCGATTCACGCCGAAGTGCACACGTTTCTGTCAAATGTGCAGCATGAGAGCCGTCCGCGCAGTCGGCAGCCGCTGAACACGAGTAAGGTCAATTTCAAGGTGCCATTGCAGCGCAACCCCAACGACAGTGGCATCTCGATGCTGCTCTACGTGGAAACAGCACTTTTCGCGTACAGCCAAGTGCGATGGGCACGCAACCACGGCAACAAATCGCCTGACGTCGATTTTGATGCGATGCGCCTTTTGTTTGAACAAACGCTCACAGTCGCCAACTTGAGAATGCCGGTTCACAAAAGACGTCAAGAGATGCTCGAGGCGCTCCGAGACTCCGATAAAAACTAACGAGACGTACACAACATCTCCATTTGATTGGAGACGCGTGGCGCGCAGCCCACGCTTGTAATCAATTGAATTGTGATCGGATTTTTTCGGGTGGCTGACCCGATAAAACTTCTCGGCATCTGATTGGCTAAAAACATCCTATGACGTGGCAAGCTGAAAACAGTGGGGCCCATGCAAAGAACATAACATGCGCGAGCGCAAGGACAAACAAAGCGCTGGCTTAAACGAATTAGCGTAGCAGAGCTTCGGGTATTGGCTTTGATTCCCTGTACGCATGACATATCAATACATTGCCCCGGCAATCGAATGCCATCCGTTTTACCTTCCTGGCGTGTCTTGCTCTTGAAAAACGTGACGCCAATTGCGTCGCCTTCGCACGAGAGGTGTTCACGCGCACCGTCTCCGTTGACTTGGATCGGCGCACGAGGTTCCGTGTTATCGTTAGGAAGAGGTGCGTGAAGCCACCATCCGTGAGCGTGAGGCTGTCCTTGCCGATACGCTAGTACTCGTCGAAGGTGAGCGGACGCTTCGCATTCGGCACCTTGCTCTAGGACTGGCTTCGCGAGGCAAGCGTGCGCCAAATGCCTACACAAATCACGTAATCACAGTAAGTCCAGTATTGAAGGTCGATATTGTACCAGCATACACCTCCTTCATATCATCGCCGTAGCCGGCAGGCTACGGCACGTTCCGGTCCTTGTAGAGACTCACGAGCGCACTGCGATAGCCACTGAGCGTCGACGTCGTGACATTCTTATAGCGCACGATATACTCGAGAAACTGGAGAAAGTCGTCGTACTCGAATGCGCGGACTTCAATCGTCCAGCCGTCCTTGGCTTCGTCGAATGAGCACGGCTCCAGGAGACCGGGCTCCTCGTACTCCTCGCGCACCCATTTCTTTACCTGGTTGAGGTTGCTCTCGTACGTCTTCCGAGATGACGTTGTGATGCGCATGTGCCGAGCGTCTTTGATCGTAAACTCTGAGAGGTCGATCTCGCCCGCGCTGTCTCGGCTCGCTGCCATGCCTTGAGGATCGCAGCTTCCATTTCTTCTTAGCACTGATTCGTGAAAAAAGGATGCTTTTCTACGATTTTTGTAGCTTTTGATTGGACGCCATTTTTGCGGGCTCCAGCCCGCAAAAATCTTTTCACCAGACGCTTATGCAATAATATAAATTCAGATACAAAAACCGAGTATAATATGATTTCGACAAAAAACAATATGGGATCTAAAGATTGGATAGAGGAACTTTTCGGGCCTGCGCCCGCAAAAATGGAGGAGCCAGTGCTTACAACAGAGTGTCGCCCGACAAAAGCAGAGTAATGCAGCTTTTTATTGCACTGTACATCATGGGTTTGGTGATATTAATAGCAAAGGGAACCTATTCCTTGGCCATAGTAGTAGAATGCCAGTCGTACTCGTATGCATTCCCGCAATCCCCACACTTGCTACATGTACTCGCCAATGCGAGACATACATTCTGCGGGCCATACACCAATCCAGCGCTATGATTGGCTATCATGTGACCAATCAAAATGAGATTGCACGAATGTGTGGCCGTTTGAATTTGCAGATCGTCAGCACGTGCCCGAAGGTACCTCCCGCTTGGCAGCATCTTGGTCACAGACGTTGCTTTGTAGCCATAGACGCACATCGTCGACGGCGAGAAATGCAGCCAAAGCCATTCAGGTCAACATGTCATCATTGGTCGTGCACGGACAACCGCATAACTAATGCTGCACCGCTGTGAGCCGCGCAACGCGCTCGACCACGTCGACCTTCACAGCTGCTGGTATTGCAATGTATTGTCGCCACTCGGATGATGACTGCCATCACGGTCGCCGCAGCCACACAGCCGTTATGGGAAATACCGACCCCAACGAAATCGAGCCGAGACATCCACGCTCTCGGCTTAACGACGGCATAGGCCGCCACAAGCCAAAGAAGCGAGGCGTCAAGATCGAAAGAAGCGTGTCAGGCGACCTCTGGCATCAGTATGTATGTGGGTGTACATTTTACTAACGCTCTATAACCATATTTTTGCAGTCTACATGGAAATGACGATTCCATGGCTATGCACAGAATATAGCAAACGCACTCGAAGCGCCTCCGACTCGACGTGCAGGGCCGTCTGTCAGCACATAGGTACGTCGGCGTAGCCATGGCAACCGTCTCGTATAATATTATCTTTCCATTTGTATACCGAACCCACATATTAAATTGTCCCCGCCATCCGTTTCAGCGCCAAAGCTTGCACAACGCACAACGCAATGTCGGAAGCACTCACGCACGTCGAGTGGGTCACTGGCGCGCTCGGCGTCTTTGTCATCTCCAACCGCGCGGGCTTCGCCGTCGTCTCGAAGCTCACGACGCCGCTGCCAGCGCACTTTAAAACTCCGATTGCCGTCGGCGACATTTTGATTGCCCTAAACGATACGCCGGTCACGCCCACGTTTGCGACGACGTTGCAGGCGCTGCGCACCAAGGCCTCGGGCACACTCCTGCGCCTGACGTTTCAGAGCCGGCGACACGATATTCCGCAATGTGACGCCCTCGGCAACGAATGCCACGAGCTGCTTTGGGCCGAGGATGCGCCGCTCGGCCTCTCGTTTGTCATGGAGCCGTGCTCGCTCCTCACGGTCGTCTCCAAGTCGATCCACGAAGCGCCGCCCGACGTCGGTGACATTCTCGTTGCGATCGGTGACGTCGACACGTCAGGCATGCGGTTTGAACACGTCATGGCGACGCTGAGCAAGGTGGCGCGGCCCGTCACGCTACGCTTTGTGAGCAGTCTCATGCCGGCGGCTTCGGCACCGCTGTCCGATGACGAGGCATCGTCACCAGTAACAACATCGTCTTCGATGACGTCATTGACCAGCAAGCTGCCAGGGCTTCGGCGCGGACCTGGTCACGTCGTGTACTTTACAGGCGGCCGCCTCGGGCTGGCGTTTAAAATCAAGGCATACCCGACCGTGAGCCAGCTCCTCGATACGACGCTTCACGATGGACTTGATGACGTGCTCATTGGCGACCAGCTGGTGAGCATCAACGGCGAGAGCACGCAGCGCTGGTCCATGGAGCACGTGATTGACCGCATCCAGAGCCACGACAATGCGACAACGGCGCCGCTGGAGCTTTTGTTTGTGACGCCCGCCGCCGCGCCCCCGGCGCCACCACGCCAACTGCCGAGCAACTGCTACGAGGTCGTGTACCATGGCGGGAAGCTCGGTGTTGTACTCGTGGGCCGAAAAGGCGCGACCGAGATTGAAGACGTGACCGATCCGACGTCGGCGCCGGGCTTAGAAAAGGCACTGGCCGGCGACCGACTCGTTGCCATTGACGGCCAGCGCACGAACGACATGGCCTTTGACAAGACCATCGAGCGCGTCAAACAAGCAGCGGCCAAGCCGGGGGGCGCCCGGCTGCTGTTCTTTCGACCGGAAAACGCGTTTGGCGAGGAAGTTCCGTTCGGTCTCTTTTTGCTCACGGCCATTGAGGCACTGCTGATTTAGATAGATCGTAGCACCTTGAGATGTCTCGACTCGATATGTTTGAATGTTTGGAAACGTGGTCGTTCGATACAAACTGTAAAAATACGCTGCTCTTGTACGGTCAGGTTATTTTGACAAACATTGCACTAGCTCCTTTGGCTCCGGTGGTAGAGCGTGAGTCTCAGAATCAAAACATTGACATCCGAGTGAGGAGCGTCGACAATGACGTGTCATACTGGTATGTAGTAGGTGTGTTTAGGACAGATAAGACGCTTTTGCTAGCGCGGAATCGTCTGGCGGGTCATCCTCCAGCACGGCGACCTCGTCGAGGCGGGTCTGCGAACGTTCACTTCTACGGTTGTCGACTCACCAGAATTTCTGCGCGTTGTGATTGGCCAAAAATGGAGGAATAGAGGACTGGTGCAAATCCGAAAAGGCAACAAGACGCGATTCGCCGCACGTTGCCTTTGCAGATTGAACAATGACACGGCACGGTTCGCGAAGCAAGCCAACTGCTACGCTCAAGGCGCTCGCGCCACGTGTACCTGGACCGCGCAAGGCCATCGAGACGGTGGATGCTTCGACGCCGCTTGCCGATACGACGCCTCCTGCCAGCATGACGCCGCCTGCCAGCACGGCGCCAACCAAGGCCAAGGATACCCGGCGCCAAGAGTTCGCGATCGAAAAGGCTGACGCCAAGAACGAGCCAATGCAGTGGTCCGAAGCCACCGTCCGCAAGCTCTTCGAGCTGCGCTGCGATCCTGCCCAAGCGTTCCGGTTCAACTCCAAGAACAACATGATCAAGAACTACGCCAACGAGTGCCTCGTGGCCGAGCTAAGCCGCGTTATGGGCCGCAAGTTTACGGTCAAGCAAGTCTCAAACAAGGTACATCGATTTGTGTCGTACAAGAATGTCGTTGAGTATAGGCGTAGATGACGCGCATGCGAGGTCAATGGGCCCACTACAAGACGTCGATGTTAGCTGGCAACGAGCCAGTGATTCCCCCAGTGCACTTCGACATTATGGCCGAGTACTGGTCGGAGGAGCCTGGCGTGCAGCGCAAGCCGAAGGCCACGAGCGCGACGCTGCCGAGCGACGTGACGCCCGCCAAGAGAAGGAAAACGACAGACAGCGAGTCCGAGCCCGTCTACTGGTGCGATGTAAGCGTTCGTAAGCTCCTGGAGCTGCGCTACGACCCCGACATTGCGTCTCAGTTCGACTCCAAGAACAACATGACAAAAAAGCTCGCGAATCTGCGTCTGGCGGCCAAACTGAGCCAATTTATGAATCGCATGTATACGGTCAAGCAGGTCAGCAACAAGGTACGATATGCGAATGTAGAGCATGCTTCATCGTGGAAGCAGATCACGCGCTTGCGGGCTGCCTGGACCGCATACCAGACCTCGATCCTGCTATCGCCTGAGAGCCCGCCCGACCCAGACACGCTTCCCGCGCACTTGGACATTGCGATGGCGTTCTGGTCTGACAAACCGACGTGCAACGCGACTCGTTGGCACCGTCGGACGAGCTCGACAACAGCAGCGACGAACACGGTATATTGCCTTGTAAAACGCTGTACCTTGTATATAGGACGAGTCCCTTGGTGCTAGGTCACAGCTCCTCTGAGAGCGAAGACGACGTTATCACAAGAAAACGCAAGACGAGCGAGCACGGCGAGCGCAGTAACAAGAGGCCACGGTCCTCTGTCGACGCCGTGGAAGCTGGCGTCAGCAGCGTGTCCGCCGAGTTGGTGCCGATGAGTCGAACTATTGCCCAGCCGCTCGCCACCCCTCTACCAACGACTTCCTCGGCCACCCCTCTACCAACGACTTCCTCGGCCACCCCTCTACCAACGACTTCCTCGGCCACCCCTCCACCAACGACTTCCTCGGCCACCTCTCCTCCGACGACTTCCTCGGTCACCCCTCCACCGACGTTGGGCTCGGCCACCCTCGAGGACGTTCTCAGCGCCATCAAGGCGCAATCGGAATCAACAAAGCATGTACTGGATGCTATTCAGGCGCAGTCGGCGTCAACCAAACATGTCCTGGACGCGATCAAGGCGCAATCCGAGTTGTTGACACAAATGATCGCAGCGATGAACAAAAAATAATCAAGTCGTTTTCAAAGTCTTTTGAGTCTTGTACTACATTTCCGCTTTTCGCAGACTTGTTGCTTGACGGCGTGATGCGTCTCAATATTGCGATTCTTGGTAGTGCGGTTCTGAAAAAGATTAAAATCTCGTGAAAACCGCAACGACTGTGCTACAGAGACAGCTCATACCGGCGGCTCGGGTCGTCGTTTGGACGCCGACATAACGTCACCAGAAAAGCTCCACGAAGAAGCCGCTACCAATCGCGCCGAGTGCGTCGGCACCGGCCGCGTCATGCTCCACCGAGCAGTCTTCACCGAAAAGCGCGTGGGTGAACGGAATCGAGAGAAACTTGGGGATCGAAATAAAGCCGAGCTCACCAAGGTACGGGCGCATCGTGTGCGACACGATACCTGCGGCCGTTGAGTAAACATCGTTGTGGTAAAAGCGGAACCAAATACTCGGACAAAGCTGTTTCTGCACATGATTCAGAGGGTTACTTGGTACCTCTTTCTTGCTTTTGCACGTGTTGGTGATGTGCATTGACCGGCCGCTCGTCCAAAAAGCAGTCCACAATGCATTCCTACCAGCAGCCCCCTCCGCAGGAACCTCGTATTGCGTGGGAAACCACCACAGCGAGAAGATGGTTTTGGACGAGTCGTTCTCATTGCATGTACAATATATGTATGCAGTTTGGGATCTCGAGATCAATTGTACTGTCAGTATCGACCACTGTCATTAACACAAGTCCATCTTGGAGTAGATGGACTTCAAAGGAGTTAAAAACGGGCACAGGTAATTAACCATGAAGAAGTCTATGGTGCGTATTGAGATGGGATGTTGGGTGTTAGCGCGTATGCTGCGATGCATGTGGGACGCCAATGAGGCGCTGGGCGCGGTACCAGAGCGGGTCGTTGGTGTACACAACGACGGCGACGGCGACGACCAGCACGACTCCGACGGCAAAGTAGTTGTCGGTGAGCGGCGGTCGTGTCTTCTCGGCGGGCGCCGGCTTGGCTTCTTGACGCAACAGCGCGACCTTGGGTGTTCCGTCCAAAGGCGTTTCCATCGGCGCCTTGGTGGTCGCTGGCTTGGTCGTCGGCGCGGACGTTGTGGTTTTTGGCGCCTTGGTCGTTCTCGGCATCATCGTGTAGCCAGGCACGAGGGCTTCGACGCTGCTCGGGTCTCGGTACGGGACCCAGTAGAGCTGCTTGCACGAGTGTTTGTCCGTCTGGTTGGGCTCGAACGTGATGCCAGAGAAGGCGAGGTAGCTCTGCAGTGATCGCGCCGTGCCAAAGCTGTACATGTCGAGCTCGTCCGCATCGATCTCGCCCTTGAACGGCCAGCCGACTTGAAACTTGAAGCGATTCTCGCCTCGAAGACGCTCGGTCGCGCGCGTTGCTTCGTCGATAGCAATGGATTCAAACCTACCACGTAATATGACAATGCGTCCACACTTGATAACGACAAACCGCTTCGGGACGCTTGTGTAGTTGTGGTACACGACACTGCCGGTCCGCGACGGCGAGTAGAGGTCGTAGCCGTGCGTCCAGAGGTGCGACGCGCGCAAGAATTCTTCGCCGTCAAACATCCAGAGCGTGTGCGAGTCGATCTTGACGCGCTTCTCTGCGTGGCACTTGCCGAAGGAGAGGCCCGCGCCCCAGAGCGCTGTCATCTGCGGGTACTTGGGCTGCAGAATGAGGTCCGCGCCAATGTTGCGCACGAGGCCATTTCCGCCGCGCATCGTCTGGCAAATGTGCGGCAAGTGCTGCGGTGCTACAGGGTCCATTCGATGTATGATAAGACCACAGAAAGAGATAAATGGGTGTACGGTTGTTGGTGCCGTCAGGCTTGATGAAATCGTTGAGGTCGTGGAGGTACGTCGTGAGGATCGCCATCTCATTCTGGGTCGTCTTCCAGTCTTCGACGAGGCCGAGGTCCCAATCGATGGTAAAGATGCTGTGGGCATCGAGCTGTAGACAAAACTCTTGGTCACCCACAAGCTTTTGCTGGTAGTGTCGTGCGAGCGTCGGTCCTCGCGACTCGTCCGCGCGGCGCGTGTCGATCTTGATCTGGTTCTTGTACTTGCAGTCGACGTCTGGCCATTGCGCCTTGGCTAGCGCGCAGTAGGATTCCAGACACGTCGTCTCGTCTTCAGGGCTCACTTGATCGACGACGCCAAAGTAAAGGCGGTCCGGGTGCTTGGCGCGCAAGAAGCCTGTGAAGACAGTCTTGCCGCAGCGCCCGCCGTCGCGAAACGCCGAGAGGCCCACAAAGATGTCGAACGTCGAGGGAACAATTGGCGGCGGCGGCTGCGCGCCGGCGAACGCCGGGTCCAGCGGCTGGTTTTGGCCTTCAGGATAGACGACGAGGTCAGTGTTGGGCTGCTTGTTCTCCGGGTCGTACGGCACCTTGCCGTGGTTGACATACGAGAGCGTGTGCGAGACGCCGAAGGGCGTCGGCGTCGGAAAGAGGTCGGCGACGGGCTCGGACGCGTAGGCGGCGGCCATCGCAGCGAGCAGCACCGTCGGCCGTAGCATACGTATCGTCGTCGTCGTCAAAGTGCAAAGTGGCATGGACCTGTGAAAGATGGTACGCCTGACGATACGTATCATTTGATAGAGGTTTACACGGCGTTCCGCACTCTGCCACGTATGGCTAAAACGACGCAACCGTTTCTTCTGCCGCAGAGTGGCCGCAGCCTCTGGCCGGGCTTCATAGCAACACAATACGACGTGCACTTCATCAGTTAGTCGAAAAGTATACTATATCAAGTAGAACGATGGTTCTGGTTCACGGGCCCGCTCATGGTGTGGTGGCAGTTGATCTGGACACCAATCTGGTTGAGGTTGTGTGGACGGTGCCAGACGCCGCCCCGTCTTGGCTTGGGTGATCAGCGTTATGATATCGGCATGGCCCTTCGTTTTGGCCACGTAGAGTGACGTTGCGCCATTTTTACGAGCTTGTGGTGTTTCGCGGTGGACGGTAGGTACCGTCATAGAGTCGTCGACGCGGGCACCCCTCATCGAGAATAAATTGGACAATATCGACGTTCTTCTTCTCGACAGCGATCGCGAGGTTTTTTTAACCCCGCTGCATCTTGGAGAGGTCAGCACCTGATGCCTTCAGAGATCGTTAGCGGCCGTGATCTGGATCGTTGTCGCAGGCGGGTAGTTCAGTTGTATCTCTTTTCGTTCAAAATTCACAAGCGGTGTTCGTTTCGCGGTGGGGCTTGCTGGCGACGTTATGCTCAAACGACAACGGTCTTCCAAACGCGCATCTATGTCGGCGCAGCGAGCACCAACCGCGTCATGGATGGTCCCCGACGTTGTGTCGCCAACGCACCGGTGGCACAAGCTCCTCGACGTCCTCGGTTTTCTGTACCTTCTCTGCGCCGTCGGGCTCGCAATCGGCGTGCTCACCATCTACGGTGCGTACCTTGAAAACAACCTTTTTTGGCCGTCGTTCCTTGCCTCGGGCATGGCGAGCGCCGTCACCGACCTCTTCAACCTCGAGTTGGCCCAAACCTCCAACGCCAGCAACCTCGATTTGACATCGATCGTGCTGCCCCAGCGCTACCCCCGCACCAGTGCGCTGAGCATATCGGCGAGCTATGCCCGGGAGGTGCTGCTCACTGATATGGCTTACGATCTCGCATCGGCCATTGTCAGTATTCGCGAGCTCACGCCGGCCGAAGTGACGTTTACGATGACGCAGTATTGCTGGGTGGATCTGAACAAGAGATGGGCGCTCGCCCACACGTTTCGCCGCCAAGCGCGGTGTGAAGCTCGGTACCGCACCAACGCCGCTGTGCACTTGGAAGCCATTTTGCGCAACATTGATTTGGCGGCGTGGCTGGAACTCTACAACCAGTTTTTTAGTACTATGATCACGAACGCAATATCTGCAACGCCGACAGGAGCTTCTTGACTGCCTTCACTCGTCGCCCAGCCGTGGGCATCGGTTCGTGACGAGGCAAAGGTGTGGACCGACGCGGAATGCAACACGTTCAAGCTTTGCTGGAGCAACCTCCGTCAAGTGGGTCTGACCGAAACAACAAGCGTTGTGAATGCCATGGGCGTGACCACGACGTTGCACATCAAGACGATCTCGCCGGTCAATCGGTACGCGCTCTGGTCGACGCTCTCCATGTATGGCGCCTTTGAAAACGACATGGGCAACTTCTACCTCGGCGTCAACGACAGCCTCGTGACCAACAGTCCGACCTTTTTCGGCCACACAATACCACAAGCGATCGAAATGTACAATGTGCCGTATCCTCTCAATGCGATCAACCAAGCGCTCCACGACCACCTCGGGTCCCTTGGGTCCGTCGACCTTTGGATGCTACGCCCCCCATCAAGTCTCCTCGCCTACGCCACCGCCTTCCAGCACCGTCTCCAGAGCGCAAAACAAGCCTCCTCACACTTTGCAACGGCCTTGGATGCGATCGAGACAACGGTCCTGCACCCGACGCCGCGCGTCTGGCAGTCGACGGATCTCGTCTTCCTCGGTGGCAACCCCATGTGCGCGTTTGGGGCACCCTACAGCTTTGTACAAGAGTCGTTTGGCTTTGACGATACGTGTGCAACCCAGCGTCCGTGGACTAGTACGTGGACCAGCACGTCGATCCTCTTTGCGTTGTCCATCGAGAATCATGGAATCGACGTGGCAGCCATCTGTCGTACATCGGGCTTGGTACTCGCAGAAGCAGACTCTTGTCAGCGCACCTTGGCGGCGGCAGTCACCATCTACGACCGTCTACCGCAAGTGACGTCGTTCAATACGACGGGAATGATTGCGGACGTTGAAGCTCTGGCCCTATCGACCCTGCAGTTTGTTCGAAATCTATCCTCCAATAGCAGCAGCGTCGACGTGCGCAGTCAGCTACTGCTGCCGCACGACGCCCAGCACTGGCGTATCTTTGGCTGGATTAGTCTCTTTGAATGGGCGCTTGGGCAGCGGGAAGCGGTGGCTTTCGAAGGCGACGTCCAAACATTCCACCTTCTCTCGTACGCCTACCCTCCAATCGATCAAGTGGCGAATCCGCTCGACGTCGGACAGAGCTTTGCCTTTTACATCCACGGAGTCTGTGGCTACGTCACCATCGCGTTGGTGGCCGTTGCTGTCATTATCGCATTCGCCATGTGCTTTCAAACCACCGGCAACGCCACGCCGTCCGACTGGCTGCGCTGGCACCGCGTTGCTGGTACAACGTGGGTTGGGCGCCCGCTACTCGTTGTGCGCGCGCTGGCTGCGATAGCGTGCCTTTCCACCGCACCCGTCAGTCTCGAACCGGTACCTGGCGGTGGCAGTGCCTTTGCGTCGGCGCCGCGATCGCTGCTAGAGTCCATGGTACTGGTCGGCGAGTCGCTCTGGCTTGTGTACGTCTTGAACGAACTCGTGCTCTTTTGGACAGGCCGGCGCACACGTCAGGTAGCACCGATCGTGGCTACACTTGTCTTTTGCATCGGCGTGCTTCTTGATGCTATCTGGCCACCGACCGTGTCGGCGTCCATTTACCGCACGTGCCGAGCCTTGCACGTGGACCACGACCTTTTGTGTTCAAGCGGCGTTGTCAATATCGGGTACCTCGATCGATTGACCGTGCACCTATGTGTGCAGTGCCTTGGTGGTCTTGTATGCACGGTTGTATGTCTTCTGTGGCCATCACGAAGCACATCGGTGGTCGCGCCGTCGCTCCTGCTGCCGGGCTATGCGACCGTGTATCTCTGCGACCGCAGTAGCAACAACAGCGAGTGGCGCATGGACCGTATTCGTGCCGCGCTCAGTGGCCTCCTCCTCTTTTCTTACAAGGGCACAGTGTATATGTTTGACTATACCCTCTGGCGCTGTCTCTCGGCAAGCGAACTTGGCATGCGCGAGGCTGCGATCGCGACGTTTTCGCTGCCCCATACTGACCACACGGTGCGTGGGGACGGCCCAGGGCTCGAGCACGTGTTGAGCGCCGCGAGCTTTCGCGGCATGCGCGTGCTCGTCAAGACGCGCTGGTTCGTTCGCGGCTCGTGGGCGCTCTTGGGCCTGGTGTACGTGGTCGTCTCCCTCGTTGGCAACGTCTACTACATGACGATCACGTCCCCGCACGTGCTCGCCAACGACTTTTACTGGGGTAACTTTAACAGCTCGGGCGGCCACACGTACCTCGCCAACCTCTTCAACGCCCAACTACTCTCTTGGCATGGCGCGCCTCGCGATATCGTGCTCGATGACCCTGCCCTCGGCGACGTTCGCCAGCTCTACAACGCGTCGACAACCACCATCGCCTTTCCCGAGACGCTCGGTCGTCGCCAGCTCTTTCCCATCACGGAGAATAGCACCGATGCGCTCATCGCAGTCGTGCGCGACCTCCGCGCCATGGACCCGTGTGCGATGCCCACCATGTTTACGCAATACTGCTGGCTCGACTTTCATCGTGTCTATGCAATGGCGAGCTCTGCAGCGCGCCAAAACCGGTGTGCAGCAACCATGTCAACGAATGGCGCCGTGTACCTCGAAGGTGTTCTGCGCAACCTCAAGAGCTGGGACGACTGGCAGCGCTGCTGGGGTCTCTCGTTCCAGCTCGGTTTTGGGGTCGACTTGATGGGCTCGACCGACGGCCGTCGCTGGCTCGAGAGCATTAAAGGCGTTTCGACCACACTTCGGGACGAAGTGGTCTACTGGCAAACGTATCGCATCCGTCATTTCACGCTGCAGTGGCAAAACTACAAGACACTCGGCTTTGCCGACACCTTTCACATCACCAATGCGCTGGACTTCGCCTACGATCTAACGCTCGCCCACGTGGATGCCGAGATGCACTGGAACCAGCAGACGTCACTCAAGATGTACTGGTCGTTCGCGTCCGACCTCTGGGCCATTTCGACCAACGCGACCTTGATCGGCGGCCATAGCCTGATGCGTGAGAGCGCACACTTTGCATTTGCTAATGTGACGAGCGCCATGCTGCTGACGCAGAACCTGACGCTTCCGAATCCACTCACGCGGGGGCTGACGCTGCTTGCGTCAACAATAGGGCCGTTTGGCACCGTTGATATGGTCTACGTGCCCTGTCCGGCGCCGCTGCTAACGTGGTTCGAGAGCATGCTCTCGAGTTTGAATCGACTGTTGGCGACGGACCGCGAGGCGCAAGCGGCGTTTCTCTCGCTGCCGCTCAAGCAGTACGTCGGGCCTTTCCCAAAGGCGTTGAATAGTACCGACATTGCGTTTGCCGGCGGCAATCTTCTCTGCGGCGATGACCTTGCCGCGTCACCGCTGCACGTGTCCATAATCGTCGCGTCACCTCTTTATCGCGCGTTTACGCCATCGACTGCGTGCCACACCCTTGTCTTTGAATTTACGTCGCCCGACCAATTCCAGTTGCTCTTTGCGCTCGCAGCGTACAGCGCGTCTCGGGCGGTACCAACAGCGACGCTGCGTCGACTCTGCGCCTACGACTTTACGGCCGCTTTGTCGTGCAGCGACGTCTATGGCGCGATGCAATCGTTTCTTACTATGTACAAGTCGTCCTTTGCAGCGCCCAACGACCTCGCACCGGGCGTTGAAGCCAGCGTGCGGCAACTTGACGTGCAATTTGTGCAGTTTATTTTGAATGGCTCGGTGCCGTCGCTCTTCCACGTCAACATCCTCGACGACGGCCCGGCACACGACGAGTCGTGGCCGTTCTACGGCTGGGTTTTTCTCTATGGCTGGGCAGCCGGCACGCGTGAAGTCGTGCAATTTAACGGCGATAGCGGCGTCCTCACGGCCATTTCGGGGCCGCTTCTTACACACAACATGCGCCCCAATCCCGCCGAGATTCGCCAGGATATGTCCATCGTGCTGCTCACCTCCGTACAGTATATCACGGTGGTATTTGTGTTGCTTGCCATCGCCATTGCTCTCTATGCGATGAGCAGCCTCCTGCACATTGAAGGATGCAACCTCTTTCAGATGAACCGCACGATTGGGCTCGTCTGGATCGGTCGGCCGTGCCTCCTCCTCCGAAGCATGACGGCGATGGTCTGTCTGCATACAAGTGCCATCTCGCTCACGCAAGTCGGCGCCGTTTCTGTCTTTACAACACCGGTGGTGCCGTGGTACACCCGCCTCCTCGTCTCAGGAGAAGTCAACTGGCTCGTATACGTGCTCAACGACACGTTTAGCACCTACACGAAAGCAACGACGCCAGTCTATGCCACGCGCAGTGCGCTCCTCGCGTGGCTGGTCATGTTTGTGTGGATCAGCATTTCGCCCGCCACATATGATGCACGATTACAGCGGTCGTGCTCGGCCCTCCACATGGATCAAGCGCTAACATGCTCGAGCGGCTACGTCCAGCTCGGGTCGGTGCGCCGGCTGTGGTACACGCTCTGTGTGTGCTGTAGCTGCATTGGTGTCGCGTATGTCTCGGTACGACAGAGAGCGACGACGCCATCGTCGCTCTTCCTCTCGTCGGCCGGAAAGTACATGCTTCGAACGCACAAGTACAACGGACTCGACTACATTGACAAGGCGTCTGGCCTCATGGCCGGCCTTCTCTCGCTCCAATGGCACGCCCACGGCTTCTACGTCTTTGATATCAAAAAGTGGCGCTTCCTGTACGTCGCGTCGCCCGAAGCCCCGGGTCGATTCGCCCACGCGATCCCGCTGCGACATTGATACATGGAGTGTAAAACGCTAGGCAGAAAACTGGTATTGATGACAGAAGTCAACGAACGCCGAGTAAAGTCAACGAACGCCAAGTAAAGGCAATGAACGCCAAGTAAAGTCAGCGAAAGCGAGCGAAGGCCGACCGTACACTCCAACGACACGGATAGACCTACAAGAACGAGGTGCGCTCCTAGCCTGTTGCTGCACTTGTCGTCGGCGTCGACAGAAAAAGCTACAGACTTAGAGCTTCTCCACCCGTCCGCGCTATCTCTATCTGGCTCTTTAAAATTTCGAAAATTTACCGGGGAAACGCCCCACCGGTCCCTGTAAATCGCCCCGTATCTGTATAATTTTTACAGGGAGGAGCAAAAAATTGGCCGAGGTCCCTGCAAATTGGAGCGCGATGCGGGGCTCGCGGTCACTCTGGCTTTTTACCCTGTAAAACTCTAAATTACTTGCTGTTTGTATACTAGTCAAAAAATAAATATAAAATCGAATTTCTAGACGAAGTTCGTAGTTATCGACGCCATACATTTCGCGACTCCCTGCATCTTTTTACAGGGCGACCGGTGGGGCATTCTTTTTTAGCGCGCTGTATCCGGCGATACAGGGAGAAATCGCACTGTAAAAAAAGCCAGAGCCAGATAGAGATAGCGCGGACGGGTGGAGATGCTCTTACGATGGGACTGCAATCTTTCCAATTTGTACACTATCGACGTTCTCAGTCATTCGTATCTGAATGTACTTCTGCTTGGAGGTCTCGGTGGCAAGCGTCAGTTGCGTCGACTTGAACACAAAAGAAATTCCGGATCGAGCTACATGTTTCTAGTACCAGATTTCTATGGCGGTGGCGCGTCACCTTCAGTCGGCGAGGACTTCCAGTCGGCGAGAATATCCTGTCGACCACTGTTGTCCAGCTCTCAATCGAAAGAAGATTGCTCTGATTGTCATTCTACGCCAGGGAATGCATGCCCCTACTGCACCGCCACATACTAGTGGTGCGAAGCAAGCAGAAAAGCCAGAAGGAAATCAACTCATCGGAGCATCCGATTGGCTCATTTCCCACCAATCACGTTGCTCAGCCATGGGATCCGCTTCAGCGAAATCATTTCAGGATTGTCGAGATGACACTGGCGTCGCTGTGGCACAACTCGGTCGTACGTCTTCTCCTGCTCGGGACGCTGGACGACGGAAGCTCGCTTCATGGGCTACGAGGCCAGAGCGATATTCTCAAGGCCATCGTCGACCATCTCCATGCGATTTGGCGGGCGCAACTCAAGGCTGACCAGCGCGGCTACGTCCTGGGCGGCATTCGATTGCTACCTGGCGACATTGACCGAGACGAGGTGCTTCGCCACAATTCATTACTCGTAGACTTTCCACCGCCGCTCACGCACCTTGTTGACGGCGTCGAGCAGCCAAAACCATTTCTCATCAATATGATGCCCTTCGTCATTGGCCATGCCGAACGACGTTGCCAACCGAGTGTCGGCGGAATATCCCGCTGCTCAACCTCTGCCAAGGCAGCCATACGATCGGTTCCATCGGGTATTTTACGATCCACGAAGACATTGTCGAGGCCGACACATCCCAACGTCGTCCGGGGCTCCACGTCGAAGCGCCGTCCGCTGCCAAGCTCCAGAATTACCTGGGCGCTGGCGAAGCGCAACACAAGTGGGCAGAGATTCGCTGGGGACAAGGCTGGACTATCTACCACGAGCTCCAAGGTGGTATTTACATGGCGTCGACGGTTGCAAATTCCTGCGGGGTACACAGTCTGCGTCTTGTCGCTGCAATGACTGATTGAAATGCGTTGAACTAGGTCTGGAACACGGTCGTCGCAGATGAAAACGATATCGTCGGTGCCCACGGCGACGTGGATGTCCTCCACGGTGTCTTGGACCGTGAGCGTGATGACTACTACGAGCCGCAAGCCAATGAGCTGTACTGGATCACAGATCGGACGCCGCACGAGTCCCTTCCGGTGACTGAAACACAGTTTCAGCAGTACTTCCGCTTCGTTACGAGCAACATCTCGCACTGGTTTGCAGAGCACTCGACGCCCAACCCACTCGGCATTCAGCCGACGGCCGCGATCGTCTACGGCAACAAGTTTACGGGTACCTTGATGACCGAGGTGTCGTTGGTAGAGGCCCTAGTCATGGCCTAGGTATGTCAATATGTATCTGGTTTTTATCATGCGCGGGAAATGCCAGAAATAAGATCGTAGTCCTATCGTGCAGGCGCAGCACCGGACGCTCGTGCCACTTGGTAGACGAAATCATATTTGAAACAGAGTCATCCAAAGTTGGCACAGTGATTGAAGACACTTTATAAAGCAGAGCAGACCACGCTATGTCGCCGCTGCAATCGTACAACGCGTGCAACGGTCCACTACATATACAAAATGCTCTGTAAGCGTTAAGAAGCAAATGACCACATTGGCTCGCCGTGGTCAAAGCTGTCGGTTGACACTTGTTATAGTGACGACGACCCCTCCCACTGGACCAAAAATGCGATTCCTAGTAGCGTTCTTGGAGCTACATTCTGTGGCGCGACGGAAGGCTCTAGATTTAAAAAGCCTCGAGTCGAGCGCTCATAATGCTCGAATCGTCGGCTTCTGGACAAGATGCACGTGCGACGCCAGTCGTCACCAGTGAGTCGTCACTACCGTTTTGACAGAGGCATCCTACAGGGCAAGCAAAGGAGTCATGTCCTTCTCAACGTCTTTGCCGTCGATGCCACAGGAGGCTCGTCCAAACAAGGGTGCGCTTCGTTGGTCTTACAAGCTAGCTGCAGCTACACGTCACGTCTACTGGACGACGCAGCACTTTGCACAGCCGGGCGACTTGGCCGTGTCGACATCGTCGAGCTACAAATACCTGCATCAGCGTCATGCATCGCGCATCGTTATCGCGAACCTTTTTCTCCTTGGGAAACTGCGACGGCTTGGCGGGCGGCGGCGGCGAGTCCGGCGCCGTCATGGAGGTCATCGCTCGATCCCGCATGCTGGAGCAGCATGGCTTCGTCTGGAAAGGCATGAGGAGACGTCATGGATCCAAAAATGCATACCCGTCGTGCTCGACGCGACGACGCCACCTTGCTGGCGCCACACAAGGGCCTACGTTCTGCATCGCATGCGGTCCTATATCGCGCATCCTCCTCGTACCTCGACCCAGAGCGCAGCGTCGTCCTGGCCCTTGGCCTTGATGGTATATATCCGATCATTGAGCTCGATCGTAAAGAGGCCCGGGCCATCTATG